CGCAGCCTTAACAGTCTAGTGTTCAATCTTCATTGTCCTTGTTATAATTAATTAAATTTCAACGAAAGGTAAGTGTGGGTCTGCTTATCCATGTTTCAAATCCATGGGTTTTCATGTGAAGAGGTATCGAGGATTAAACACTAGACCGCTTAATTGAACCTAACTCCAACTCCAACTTAAAAGCTTAATCTGCCAGGTGAGGTTCCAAAAGCTTCAATGTTCAATATCAGAACCTAGGTGGTAATTGGTTGAGCTTTCTAGCAAGATATTTCAGAGGCAAAAACTCAAAAGATATTTTAGGTTGGAGTAATTTGAGTTCAGTCCATCTCAGAATTCATAATGCTATTGTACAATTCGGGTCAGTGTCAAAGGGGGAAAGATTCCTAATTCACAAGGGATATTGTTTATAGAGAGTGGGGACAAATGCATTTGGGGAACAAATAAATGAATTCTGAGCGAGAATGGACTATAAAAAGGCCTTTTAGGTAGGGGTGTTCACGGGTCAGGTTGAATTGGTTTGAGTCATTTTCTTCAAATGAGACCTAATCGGTTTACTTGTTGACTAAAATTGACCGACCTGACCCTGAAGCAAAACCAACCCAAACATAAAGGGTCAATTTGGGTCAGTTTGTCGGTTTAATCGAGTTTTATATATATTTTAAACTAAAATATCTATTTATATTTTTAAGTCTATTTCCTTTTAGATTTTATGCAAAACCAAATATATATTTAAATCAATTAATTTTTTATGAAAAACTGATTTTTAGTATATATATATATATTAAATTAAATATTGTACCATTGTATTATATTTGTACTGGTTTTGTGGTTTTAGTTTTTATCATAAATAATCATTTTTTTTAGTTCAAATAAAACACAAATAAAATATATCAACATTTAACTTATAGGATAGGGACTAATTAGTAATTACTTAAACATACAGAATCGGTTCGGTTTCAGTTTTTATGTATGAAAGCCGAAACCAAACCAAATTATCGGTTTATTTTCTCACACAAACCGAAATCAACTAGTGGTTTTGAAAAACCGACCAACTCGACTTGAATCAAGCCGGTTTGATCGGTTTGACATTTAATGTGAATACCCCTACTTTTAGGTTTCAAAAATTGAAAATAAAGTTTCCAAACCTATTTGATAATTTTGCGCTTCAAACCGTTTTTTATAACAGTCTGAATTAGAAAGGTTTGGTTTTAGACTGGAAGGTCAAAATGGAAATTGAAAAGGCTTAAGCTGAAGTTTCCTGTTTTTTTTGCCTTTTTCTTAAACATCTCACACTAAAATTATAAAAGATCTTTTCCACAGCTTAACCAAACAGGGCCTTGATACAAGACCCGACACGAACCATGAGATGAGAAGTGAAATGGAATGGATTATGGACTTCTTTAAGAGAAGAGACAGTGGAGAAAGCTACGGATGAAGCGAATTTGGGCCACCAGTTGTGCATCTACTTGTAGGATTCTAGGTCTTCCTCTTCCCTAAATAATTCATCTATAAAGAAATGTAATATAGGCAAAACATGTGCTAAGCAATGTCTTGTTTTAAGCAATTTTAGGGCAATAAATAATCATTATCATAAATTAAAAAACTAATATCCACTTTTAAGATATTTGGCCTTGGCTGGAGTGAACAATCGCCTCAAATTTGACTTTCTTCATTGAACCATGCCGGATTTTGGTTAAGTTTAACCCAAAGATTGGATCTGCTGGTTAGTTCTCTGGAGTGAAAATAACTACATTTAACCTAGTTTTTAGTGCCCTAATCAGCAATAAGCTTTAATGGCAACAGTAGCCTTCTTAAATCCCAATCCTTGACAAATTCCTTGGAAGTTTAAAATATTCAGCAATTCCTTGGTAACTTCACAGTATGTTTAAACTCCATTAGTAGTAGTATTTTTTATTATCTTAATTTGTAAATAAATAAATAACCCACTTGAAAAGTAAATTTTCATTTAATATTGTATTGAAAAATTCAGAAAGAAAGAATCATTTTTATCAGGGAAAATAAACCTTAAAAACACATCCATGAATTTTACTCTCTCTCTCTCTCAACTTTAAAAATATATAATATTATAAGGCTGTTTGGCAAGACCCATTGGAGAAGTAAGAAGATAAATGAGACTTTTTAATTTGAAAATCCCTTGCAGTTTCAGAGAACCCATCCATCCAAACATTCTGTGTATCAGGATGCATTGACCATGTTACTTACCTACTCTCTCCCAGGAATTAAAACATTTATGCCAAACATAAAAGCTACTACTCCGACTGCGTGGGTGGTAAGGAATGTGGATTCATCTCTGAAGCTTCATCACAGCAGAGAAAGCAAGGAAAGAGAAGAATTACGCCAAAAGAAAAGGCTGACAGTGAGGGCCCTGAACAAATTCATATGCAATGGAAACGAATCAATGCGGGAAATATTATCTTGTAATTAATTAATTAAACATAGGAAAATCGCCTTGTTATGACCAAGATTCTCTTGTAAGTTGCACCCTTTTTACACCATATATTTTTGTTAATGGTATAGGCATTGAAAGCTTCTGTGTTCAGGCCAGTTCTTATCTTTTGAGATGCTGCTCCTTTTAAGGGATTGGATCTCCTTCCTCTGGTGTTTCTATGTAGGTTGATCGATGCATGAGCGATACCAGTTTACCTGATCTAAGCTTGATTCTTAAGTTTTTAAGTTTTTATTCATATATAATTCTTCTCTTTGTGGATACTGGGCAACTTATGTTTGGATGCTTTCCGTTTTTTGAAAACATAATAAAATATAATCAAACTTCTAAGTCAGGTCAGGATAGTGTGATCTGAAACCTACGTCAACCCCATGTATTGAACTCTCAGTCTTGGTTTTCAAAACAAAACTTTATTTGAACCCACCCACTCTTTGATTGGATGTACTCAACAGTTAACCCTAACCTAATTCAATTTAAGAACTTGGGTTGGTCGAATTGTTTCCATTTAATTTACTGATTCTGAAATCCTCTTTGTGGATTAAAGGGCTATTGGCTGATATGTGTGGTTTTGCTTTTCTTCCAGAAAACGACCACTACATAAGTAAAATCATTTAAGTCGACGAGGAAGTTGTTTTTGTTTTGAGATATTGGTGCGGCAATGGCATTTGTCCAGTGTTTCTTCCTGTCCTCATCCAGTTTTTAACCCCAAGCCAAAATGTAACCCAGCCAAATTGGACCACCAGATTGATTATGGATTGCGGTTTTACGGGTCAACCGGATGGTTAATTAGCTCATTCTGACCATGAAAACTGTTAATTAACCGAGAGCTGAAACCAAAAGGTCGCTGGGTCAAGGGGTCTTCAGTTCAACCATCCGGTCTGGTCGCCAACACTGGTTCATCCTACCAGGATTGAGGATGACAAGAAGCTTGGCAAGTTAGGTCAAGATTGATAATACCTACATTATTCATCCTTTAATGCTAATCTGCAAGCCTTTCCTGTTGGAAAATAAAAACTTACTCAGGAACCTCACCTCACAGTCAATAAAATTGTTAGTTGACCAAGTGATTAGTGTTTGAAGTTCCAACTTAATCGCTCCCATTATAATTAAAGGTTTGACTATGATGATAGAAAGACGTGATACTAGAAAAATTTATAACCAATCAACCAGCATCATAAAAGTGGTAATCAATCAGGTGGGTTTTCATCAAATTCACATGTTTTGATTGATCAAAGTCTTTCCCGTATCATATCCTTCTTTTTTTCGGATCCTTATAAATAATTAAAATTCAGCATAAGGTATGGGTGAGCCTGTATTTGCCCACGCTTTTCACATAGAGAGACATGTTAGAAGGAACCTCACCTAACAGTTTAAATGGTACAAAGTCCAACCCCATCATTTTGTCATAACCATGGATGATGGATCTGTAAACTATTTTCAATTTAACCAAAGGATTCATTTGGCAAACCATGCATCTAAAGGATATGACAGTGTTTCAACCCTTTTTTGTGTGGAGAAGGGAGTGCTCGGGATGCCTCAAAGGTCACAACTCTCCAAGCTATAGGTCTTGGGGTTGAAATTTTGAAATTCATGATTAATGGGAGGCAAGAAGAGCAGATTTCTTTGATTGGCTTGGGCTGTTTTCTTTTCATTCTTCCAGCTTCTAGGCTGTGAACTGATGAACCAAGGATCTTCAGCCCCAAATGGTTCTTGGGCCAGGGTAGGATTTGGCAAATAAGCCTGTTGGACCATGCCACAATCAATGATCGGTTGAGCTTTTGGAAAATGCTCTTAACAAACTAAACAAATTCTAGGTTGGGCTGATAATGGGCTCATATTCTACTGGATCTGGCCCAGATTGCCCCGACTTCTTGAAATGCTACCATCAAGACAACAGGTTACAGGATTTGCAGTAGTTTGGGGATACTACATGATGTTAAAGATTTGTAACAATCTTAGTAGACCAAAAAGGAAAGAATGATCTGACAAAAGAAATGCCAATGTGAGGATGTGATATGTGAAGGGAGGTTTGGGATATGACTTGAGAGATTGAGTGGGCTATGCCCACGGCCCACACCCTACTCAAGGGATGAGTAATTATTTGGTCAACTGGAGTAATAAGATATCCACCTTTGAACCAAAAAAAAAAACACTTTTAGGCATAGAGATAAAGCTGTTAGTGGAGGTCTGGACACAACATAAGCAATTTTGACATGCTAGCTGATAACAAACAGCAATTCTGAGAATTGTGTGATGAGTACAGTATTGTCCCAAATGGTTCTCATAATTTAACTATTTCTATAACTAGCCTCTTGCCTCCCTTTCTCCTTCAAGAGAATGCACCCATGTTACAATTGATTACAAATAGCAATTCTGAAATGGTATTCATGATTTGCACTGATGTGGTAAATACTGTACTGCTATTGATGGAAATCCAGAAAGAAACTGCATGTGGAATTGTGTTTCCCTTCAAGAAATATGCACCTACATCACAATTGATAACAAATAGCATTTTGGAAATGACACTCACAAGTAGTTTTAATATGGTAAATACTGTATAACTATTTAACAAAATCCTGAAAGAAATTCTGGTGTTGATTACAAAGGAACCATGTTCGACAGGGTAGAACTTGGAAAATGAAACAGTGCAAACTCGATTTAAATTTACAAAGGTTGCTGGAAAATCCTGAACCAACTGCTGTTTATCATTCAGGTTCTGCTTTGGTCTGAATGTTCATCCAAGGTGGAGAATCTGCCACCAGTGAAAAATGAACTTGGAAGGTGAGTCTCAGAATCCAGGGACTGAAGTAATCTAATGACTTCAAACATCGTTGGCCGTTTCTCTGGCATGACAGAGGTGCAACGGAGAGCAACTTCTAGAGCGCCCATCATCTCTTGCTGCGATGAGCTGCAGATCCTGGAATCCAGGACCTGAGAGGCTCCATTGGTCATGTTAATTTTCCTTCGGACCCACTTCACAACATCTACTGAATCCCCAGCTTCTATCTGTTCACCTTGCCTCCCAGTTATGAGCTCTAATAACACGACACCAAAACTGTAGATGTCCATCTGTTCAGTCGCCTTCTTACAGTATCCATGTTCTGTGAGCAAGCAACAGTCACTTCGGCTATTGCATTATCTAAATTCTCAAAAGAAACTAAAGACATTTGTAATGCTCATTCATATGACTGATCTGGGTTTATTTGTCTTATAGTATATTCTTGTTTAAACTAGCAAGTTTCATCTCAATATCTCATCTCAGTCTAGCTTATGTGAGTTTACAGAGTTCATCAGCAGGATCATCAAGCAAAATTTCAGAAATAGTACTGACAAGAGTATAACCAAAGAAGAAACGGAACTCAATCTTTAGCCAAAGCAGTTTTACTAAAATAAAGGTACAATTAAATAAGAGAAATCTAATTATCTATGGTATCCTAGCAGAGCTAAATCACACGAGGAAAGGAATGCAATTCATTAATTACATCCCCACAACCATGAACCATCCCTCCAGTCAGTTTTATGCTCCAAATTTTCAGTATTTGATTTATAAAACAGTTTCCATTATGTCACTTGTAAACCAGTTCTGTTTGCCTATTGTGCAATATCTTGGTTTTCTCCTTTGATATATAGATTAGAATCAAACCATAATTGCATCAATAAAAAGCCCTTAGCCCCTGTTGCAAAGCAATATAGTTTCTCCAATATATTGGCAAACTCCAGAAGTACTTAAGTAATCCAATGAAAATAATTGACAACAAATTCACTATCGCTTTAAGTTAAATCAGATATCAAACATATTTATCATTAAGTAATGGTTTCGGAGATCTATATACCTGGTGCTATATAACAGGAGGATCCTGCTTCAGAAGCCACTGCTGACTGATAAGCAGACTCACCAACAATTCGATCAAGTGCAAAGTCGGTGAGTTTTGGTTCAAAGTTCATGTCCAGAAGAATGTTCCTTGATTTTATATTCCTGTGAAGTAAGTGTGGACTGTAATCCTTGTGAAGGTAAGCCAGTCCTTGGGCAGCTCCCACAACAATCTTCAATCTAATACTCCATTCTAATTGAAAGTCTGATCTGCATATCAAATCTCCTAAACTTCCTCTTTGTATAAATTCATATACCAGGAGAAGTGAATCATCAGAATAGAAAAAACCCAAAAGCTTTGTGATATTCTTATGTCTGATCTTTGCTAAATTCTTGATCTCAGCCTTCAAAGTTTTCAAAGATTGACCTCCCACACTCTTTAACTTCTTAACAGCTACGAATTCACCACCCGGCAGCCTGATTATGTAGACTCTGCCAAAAGCTCCACCACTACATATTGCACCTTTCTCGTCCATTCCCATTATCAAGTCCTGTTCAGTAATTCTCAGAGGATAGAAGAACACCGAGCCCCATTTGCCCAGATGAGATTTCTTCTTGGAGGAACGGTACAATACAAAGAAACCAGCAGCAACAACCATAAGAGAGACAGCAAAAGCAATGGATATCAGCACAAATGTCAATTTGGTCGGCCCAGCAGACATATGCTTAGGCCCGTCTTCTGAGCAAGAATTGGGTAATCCAGGTCCGCAGAGGTCTGGATTTCCCTGAAGGAACGAAGCTGGAAGACCGGATATGAGAGAGTACGGGACCCTACCTGAGAGCTTATTGAAGGAAACATTGAAAAGGGCAAGCTTCAGGTTCTGTAGCTCTTGTGGAATTGGTCCAGTGAGATTATTATCGGAGAGATCCAGGTAGGTCAACACTGGCAATTCAGCTAGAGAAGACGGGATTTCTCCGATGAAACTGTTGTCTGCCAAAGACAATGAGACTAGTTTTCTACATTTTGTAAGCTCGGGAATACTACCAGACAGAGCATTGTGAGACAGATTGATTATACTCATGATGGGTGAATCGCAGAAGTTTGGAGGAAGGTCTCCATAGAAATTATTTTGAGATGCAGAGAATCTATAAAGGCTCTTAACCATGCCAAGACCCTGAGGAATTCTACTAGTAAAGTTGTTGTTATCTATCTGAACTTGCTCCAACTCAGCAGCCATGGATATTGAGTCGGGTATTTCTCCTGAAAAATTATTATTTTCAGCTCTGATGAGCTTGATCTTTGGCAATGACCACAACCCATTAGGTAAATTCCCAGAAAATCCATTGTTCTGAACTTGAAATTTCTCCAGATTCGAGCACTCTTTGAAAGAATCGGGTATGGAACCAGTGAAGAAATTTGTATGAAGGCTAAGATCAATGAGGCCTTTTGCTTGGCAGAAACCAGTAGGGAATGACCCAGATAGCTTGTTCTGTGAAGCATCAAAGGATACCAGATTCCCAAGACCAAGCCCGAGTTTCTCAGGAACCCCACCTGTCAAATTGTTCTGAGAGAGGTCTAAAATCTCCAACCCTTGTAAGCCCAAAAATGAATCTGGAATCCCCCCATAAAAACCAGACCTCTGCAACAACAGTTTCTTAAGTTTCGCAAGCTTCCCAATCTCGCTAGGTATCTCACTCACTAGGAACGGATTTTCAGACAAATCGAGAACAACAAGCTCACTCAAATTCCCAAAGACAAAAGAAGGAACACTACCTGAAAACAAGTTGCTTCCCAAATTGAGAACCTGCAAGCTCTTCAGAGAACCTAGGCCGTATGGAATCTTTCCCTCCACATGGTTTCTGCTGAAATCAAGCACTCTCAGTGAACTGAACTGAGAAATCTGATCGGGGATTGTTCCCCATATGAGATTGTTGCTGAGATTCAACGTTTGCAACGCACTGCACTGTGAAAGATGAAGAGGGATGGGCTGGTTGAAGAGATTGTCTGCAAGATTGAGATTTGAGAGGCTAGGTAGTTGACAGATTGAAGGAGAGATCTCACCAGAAAGATTGAGACTTCGAAGGTTGAGAGAAGAAACTGACAGAGAAGCCGTAGCACTAGCAGTGCAGGCAACACCAGTCCAGTTGCAATGGTGGGTAGCAGAGGTGTTAGACCAGGTAGAGAGAGAGTTCACGGTGTCTTCAATGGAGGCCTTAAAGGTGAGAAGTATCTGTGCTTCATCTACAGCAGAGCTAAAGATAAAAGCTGAGAAAAAGAGGAAGGGAAAGACAAACAGTGGACGAGTGAAGCTAGCAGCCATGGACAATGCAAGAATGCTCTTTGAATCGTTCAAGCTTGATTGCACATTTGCTGAGAAGCTGCTGTAGCCAGTAGCCTGTTTGATGGTATAAAGCTCAAGCTCAAGAGACTGAAACCAGTGACAGTGAATGGAGTGGAGTGGAGTGGAGTGGAGCGACTTTGCCAGGAGTTCATATATCATACAGTCATACACCAAAGTTAATGATAAATTGTTAAATTATAAAAAATGAAATAATTATTGATAACTTTGACTTTTTCTGGATAAGGGTTAGATTTTGACTCTTTACCAACCAAAATTTCTCTGTATGAGAAATCTCTACCCTACGTAACATCTGATCAGGTGAACACCCTGATCAAAAAAGCAATTTTTGACGGTTAGGATCACAAGATTAACCCAGGGGAAAATCTAAGATGTGAGTCCTCCATAAATGGCCTAATAATCAAATCAGAGAGTATCCAAAGTGGTATTCCGCGAGGTAGCAAATCATTAAAAAATATAACTGAATAAGACAAAATTAAAAATCGATATTAAATTAGTTAATTGGAGAGAGAAACGTAGAGAGAGAGAGAGAGGTTAGGGCTCCCGTCCCGTGAATTGGCGCTGACAGGACAGTGGCGCTCTGATGAGAAAAGACAAAAGTCCAAGTTCGCACGTGCCAAGCTTCTCCTTTTTTCAACGCGTAGCAACAACTAACAGAACAAGAGTACAAAGGCAACAGCAGAGCAGATCAGCTATCCCCACCGCAGCAACTCTATTCCTCCCATCCTATTCCTACACACAAACTTCCCGTCCGGTCGCTTTCATCGCTACCATCGTTTTCTTTTTCAATCGAAAAAAGGTCACCCGCTTTTGCCGCTGAGTCACACTGTAGAATTCCCATGTTTGGAAAGCGATGGAGTGGACCAAGGGTCTCCCTTTTGAACCCTGAGACCATCTCATAGACCATTGGATTGGAATCGTCTGTCTTCGGATAAACAATCGGGCCCATATGAGGTAGCCCACAAATCCAGCGGTCAAGAATCAAAGATTAGTATGCATCAAGTTAGATAAGAAAGGATTTGGATTCTGATGACTTCTGATAGCGTTCCAAATTGGGCCTTGAGGAGTTAATGGGCCCACTGGGTACTGACAATGCAGTGATGTACCACCCTCGACACCCAGCGTTGGAAGAGCGTGGGACTATGTTAAAACGCTGTATCGACGGTACCTGACCTGTCTACTGAGTACTGGATCAATGAGTTGTACATCTAACATCTTTCACCTTGTTCATTTCCAAAGTGGGGCCACTGCTATCAGTCATCAAAAGACTACCTTGGGATTGGGATCTCCAGAGGATAGTTTACAAGGTCCAGGCCCACCTAGCATCAAGATGGGCCCCACACCCACCAGCATTTCCTAAAGAAACAATGAGAGAACTGAACACCAAGTCACCAACCACAGGCTACAAGTGGGCTTTGTTTGTTTGCACCTAAAAAAATTAAAAATAAATAAATTTGTAGAGTACATCATCATGAAGAAAAAAGAAATAGTCTTTGTTCAGTTAAAATAAATTAAATCCAATTCATTTTACAGAAAAGAATTTCTTTTCTTTCTTTTTTGCCCTTTTTATTGTTCCTTTATTAAAGAAAAGACCATGATGATTCCAATTCTTTGGCAAGTCAATAACTCATTGTCGGCTCCTGAAGATGCAAACAAACAGGGCATTAATTATAAGGATATGACTGGAAAGAAAAGCCAAAACAAACAACAGGGGTTATACTTCTACCAATAAACAAAAGATGGGTCCTGCTCAAATTCACCAACATGGTGAATTCATTTTACCTTCACTGGAATTTTTGAACTTTGATCAATTAATCCATTCTCTCAACTTCCAACAATATGAGATCGAATATATAAATCTTGTTTGGCTTTTCATTAAAATTAAATTATGGGTGTTTAAATCATTTTTATTATTTTTTCTTAAAAATAATAAAAAAAAAAAACATTTCTTATTGTTGTATTTAGAAAATTGGACCGAAATGACTAGTTGGACTGGTTAAACCATGACCCAGCCCCTGGCCAGTTTTGATCATACTCCAAAATCACATTGAGTAAAAAACCAGCCAAAACCATTGACCTGAATGGTCGAACCGGAAAATCATTGACCCAGTTCCAGTTTTAGAAAAGCCATCGGTTTTTTGAAATCTTTTTAGCACATAAATGAAAAATTTTAAAGGCCATAACTTTGTGCTTAGATGTTCGATTGGGGTAAATTTTTTTTTATGTTGGGTAATTTTTTGAGATTTACATGTTCCCAAGGAGCAAAAGACACCCTGCCCCTCTTTTTTTTTGCCAAAAACACCTTTTTTGGCCTTAAATCTTAATTTTTAATATAAAAAATTGAAACTAAAAATAAAAAGACATATGTTATAGAATAATATAATTAGATATTTTGAATATATGCATATAATTAATATTATTATTCTGTAATTAATAAAAATGATATTATTATGTATATAATCATATATCATATAATTATGCATATTATATAATTTATATATAAATTATATTACATTACATTATAATATAAAATAAAATAAAAAAATATGTTATAATAGAATATTATTATATATTTTGAATATATTATAATATAATATATATTATATTATATACATAGATTATATTTATTACATTCGACCTTAGTTGAATCTTTAATCCGTAAGCATTTCCATTTTTTAGGTCAATGCCTAATACGGTTCTCTAAAAATTGGAAATTTGATCAACAAGGTCAAGGGTCAAAAGGGATATATTGAAATTGGTACACGAAGGCTCCACTATTTGGGGCTTGAACCTAACGCTTTTTTATCTTTTTAATTTTTTTCTTAATTTCAGAGGGACGAATAATGTTATTTAACATTTATGGAAATTGGGGCTTGAAAACTCATGGTGAGTTTTCAATATTTCTCTTAAACTCACCACAACTTTTCAAAATGTTTAAAACTCACCATGTCATTAAGTTTTTATTTTCCAAAACTCACCTTCCGTTAGTGCCTTCCATTAGTGCACCATTAGTGCTTCCTAACAGAGGTGTCCATGTCACTGTTTTTTTACATTTTTCTATTTTCTACAATCTATAAATTTTCCTATATTTTTTGTTATTTATTTACAATTTTATGTTTTTCTATCATTTTTGGTGTTTTTTCTACAATTTTTTTTCTGATTTTGTTTTTCAATTTCTATAGTTTCTATAATTTGAAAATAATTTTTTATTTTGTTTGCAATTTTTTATAATTTTTATATTTTTTGTGATTTCTATATTTTTATGTATTTTATATTTGAAAATATTTTTTGAACCTTTTTCCTTCTTTTTATGTCTAAATATTAAAATGGTAATATATTAACACTCGTTAATTTATCTTGTATATATTTTGTATTTTTCTATGAAGGTTAAACCCGTTAGTCTGTTTAACATCAAGTTAATTATATGGTGAGTTTTAGACATTTTGAAAAATTGTGGTGAATTTTAAAAAAAAAAACTGAAAATTTATGATGAATTTTAGACAATTTCCCCAACATTTAAAACAAAGACTTTATGGTGGAGGGAGAGTACAAGGAAGCAAGCATTAGCATCCAGCGTAGAATTTGCAGGGGAGGGAATTCCGATGGAAGCAAAGATTCCATACTGAGACAGCCCAGATTGCTCCCGTCACCCAACGCCCTTCCCCATAATTTTTTTTTTATATATAAAAATCTATTCATCGATGGAAGCGCTGCATTTAATTTTTCAAATTTGTGGCCCAATCAACAACTAACACGATAGAGATCACACCATTTATCCAGCGTGATCGCTCCCGCTCAATCTACCACCCTTTTTTTATCAACTCGTACCAAGGGAAAAGGTAAAGATAAAAGAAAAATAAGACTTTATGGTTCAATGCAGATTTCTAATTTCTACTGCAGAGTTATAACCATTGAAAAGGTCAAAAATTCTTATTCCATACATCAATGCTCCTCTATGAATTGGCATCAATTCCGATTTGACACCCACCCTAATTGTACATTGGGTTTAAAAATTCTAACCCTAGGTTGAACTCTCATTCTTTTATTTTATTTTAGGAAGAATGATTGTTCGGCCCATCTCAGAATTCTTAGCTTTATAGTAGAATTAATTTGAACGGTGGATTGATGTTATATTCACGGATAGGATGCTATTTATAGGAGGGATTACTAATATATTATGAGAGGCTGTAATTTTAAAATTCTGCAGTAAATTATGCAGTTTATTGATTGGAATTGGGATCTAGTCCTAACAGAACGTGCCTCATACCAATCTCATGGCCACAACTCACTCTCTCCATAAATACTAAATACAAGTACAGGACACTCTCTTCCAGATGTGTGGCCAAAAAACGCTATAAGGTCGGTGTGAGGCTGAGGAGCAGATCCGGACTCAGGTGATTGGGCGTCCAATGCTTGAACCCACAGCATTGCAATGATGAACATGGACTCAATTCCTTGGATATCACATCTCTTGCAGGTAGGAGTAGGACCCTTTTAGTGGTGGGCCCAGATGTGAATGTAATGTTGTTCTGCTAACTCATCCCTAGACTCTAGGACAAATGTAATTGATTTTTGGGAGAATAACTGTTCAGCACACAGCACACCCAGAATTCTCAAAATTTATAGGGGATTATCACCGATACGGCATATCAGCCTATATCGATATTTAGAACCTTGGCTATTAATAAACTATGAGAATTATAATTTCAAATTTCTGCGATGGAGTGCAGTGTTCTTCATTATTGATTTTTCTGAAAAGGTCTTTTATAGATGGTCTCAAATGCTACACGTGTTGTACTAAGACGGTTCCACATGTCTTCCTGTTGAACTTTGGGCTGGACCTGATATCCTACCCACTCCTCTAGACCATCCCAAGCAAGGACCCAGAAGCTGTGAACAAAATAGCATGCATTTAGTCTTGACTCTTGAGAGCACTGCCAGAAAGCAACGCCAAGGTGCAATACCCCATTGATCAGTTAGTGGAGCTTCTATCAATTGGCCACCAGCTCACTTTCTATCCTTTTAGCATAATGGGAAAAAAATTCTAGGCTTTACCACAAGTCGCTCTCTCTCTCTCTCTGACTATGCTCAGCTATAACCAAGAAATGATGTTCCCAAGTGCACCCCATTTGGGTCGATTCAAAAAGTTGAGAGCATGTCCTCATAACTTGATAGTCAACTTCAAAATCGAAGATTGGAAGGAAAAAAAAAATAAGCAAGGACATGGATGTTTGTGCTTTTTGTCCTTGTTCTGGTCATATAGATTTGCAAGCCCAAAATGACCCCAAAACATGAAATTTTGAGTGTGGCCTTGTATTGGTGAGCAAAGTTGCTAACCAGGCATGATTTGGTATGTGAAAGTGATCTTGTGCTATTATCAGTATTCACTCATTGCAATGGAGAAAGCAAAAAAGAACCACAAATTCTCTCTCTCTCTCTCTCCCATCCCACTGAGCTCTGGGGGTGCTAAGTGGGGGCCATTGCTGCTGATTTTGCTTGCCATTTTCTTGCTTTAGCTATTGCCTTCCTTTGGGAGGGTTTTTGGTTATATGGATGCAACTGTGAGGAACCTGCTTGTGTCATTGCTGGGGTATTTGATACTTTATTTTTACTGTGAGCATGAGTGCCAATCCAAAGTCTGAAAGGCATGAACCAGAAAGCTCAACAGTGGAGTTCAGGGCATATTATACTGATGCTATCTAAGTCTAATACCCCAAAAGAAAAATCAAGACAGACAAGATCATTGGATTCTTTCACCCCAAGGAACACCAAAATTGTATCTGGGTATCAACAGCATACAATACAAATTACTTTGCTGTTACTTCTTAGTCATTGTTTCCTCGTTTGGTTACATGGAAACATGGATCTGCTTCTTTGCACGCTAACTGTAACTGGGTCTTGGAGTAGAATGGAATCCAGACAGTGGAGATTGAATGCAATTTTAATCATGTTATGAAAAGGCCGGGCCCGGGCCCATCAAGTGCAATATGTTCATATGCCCATACATTATTAGTTAAGGCCCAGCCCATTTGAGTGACAGACATGGCATCTGCTCAACTCTCACCATATGCAGACCCACATCTCTGATCATCTTGACTAAGATTCTCCCACCTCCACTCAGAAAAACATTCCCCATTACTCAACTCATAACAAAACAAAATTACGAAGAACCACACCTTGAATTATTTCAAATCGAAGAAAAGTTTTATTTCAATTGACCAGATAAAGGAACGGTTAAACCCAAATGACAGAAATGAAAGATTTTCAGACTGTAAAGTGGACGAGGCTCTGTTTCAAAGAAATAACAACTGTTCCAGACTTCCAGTGTTCAGTGCCACGCAGGCTCCACCAAATAGTTCGGTTGTGATCAAGATGGGCTCTATATTTGGATGTTCCAGCTTGAGAGCCAAATGGTAAATAAATGAATGGGGCCCATCTTTTGAAGATTCGGGCATGCCATGAATCTACCACGCTCTAAACCTGCAGGCTGCAATTAGAGAAATCCAGTCGAGGATTGAATCTGCAAAGAACCCAAGTAGCAAAAGAAACGAGTTTGGCACTGTTTGGAAATTATTTTCTTCGCAGAAATGTATAGGAACTGGAAAGTTAATGGAAATGACACCAACGAGAAACTAAGATCAGCTAAGAATCAACTACAACACTTTGCAGGGAAGCTAAAAAATCATTACTCAATTCTTACCAAAAACAATAAAGATTCAATTCCCAAAATCCTACTGGATTAGATGACTTCTAAACATCCTCATTGTTGTGGGCCATGGAGGCAAACAAACCTTAAATTCATATTTTCCCCTTTCCCCCTTTTGGATTTATTGGAAAGCAAAAATTAAGGGAATAAAATTTGGGCGATCACCAAAAAAAAAAAAAGGATACTTAGCTTCACCTTCTCTTCAACATATTTTACAGGAATCAGACAAGAAAAGAGACTTTTGAAGTCGTATAAATATAATTTATAGATCATCCTGTAACAATCTCCAGCATTTCCCCAAAGATACTATTCTCTCAAAGAAGAATATCATATCTCCAATTTGGTAAAACCAATTTAGACAAGCAGAAAACCGTGATGGTTATCTTTCTTACCTATGGCTCCAACTACCCGAACTAGCTTTGCGCTCTCCTCGCTTTCTTTTGTTCTTAGGAACTTGAAACTCGGATGCTAAACAGGAATTTAGAGTCAACTGATCCTGTGTTGAGGTTTTTGAGGCCAGTTCAGGTTCTTTTGCTGGAAGTAGAGGAATCATGCTCTCCTTTTCTTCTTCTTTCACTTGTTCCTGAAGCTTCTCTGGGGGCTGAATAGTAACCTCAAAATTATGCAAATCTTCCTGGGTTACCTGATTATGTATCAAAACATGATCTCCAATCTGCTGACATTAAAATAAGAGAAGAATCAGAAACTTCTGGTTGTACATTTGCCATTTTCTATATTAAAATTGAAGATAATTCTGTTAACACTAGAAACCTGTGAACCATGACAAATGTTCAAGGTTACCATATGGGTCCAGTTAAAATGGTTTGGTAACCATTCCCCCCTATAAGTTTAGAACTTTTTCAATCTATAATGAGGGTTAAGTCCTTGGAATAATTAATACATAGCGGAAACAAATGATTAAACTTATCGAAAAAGAACATAAAGCATTTCTCCAGTACCTCTATTAGAGCAAGGAGGAAACATGAGGGGTGAGTCATTGGATTAGCATCCACGTTCCCCCAGTACCTCCATTAAAGCAAGGGGGAAATATATGATTGAACTTATGAGAGGAACATAAAGCATTTATGTCACTTGTAGAAAGTATACGGCAATATTTCAAGGCAAGTGGTCCAGAAGAAAACAGCGGATCAACTAAAATAGGTACCACACAGTTTCATCTTCACTGCAGACAAAGTCCAGCTAATTCTAAAATATAACAAAGAAGAAAAAGAAAAGTTAACAAGAAAAAGCACTTACTTACATCTTCACAAGAGTCTCCAATCTGTGGCTGATCCATAGCAACATCAGTAGTAGATAATAATCCCATTGTGCTTTCAAATATATCGGGAAGAGGAGCTGCTTCCCCGTAACTAGAAACTGCACTCTCAGGCATAACCAGGTCTCCTAAGTCATATTCTGACATATGCTGCGTGGGGGTATACAAAACTCCAACTGGCATAGTTTCCCCATTGCCAGGAGAACAATTAGGACTTCGAGCAGAGCTAGTGGGCACATCACCTGGCACAAGAAGGCTTAAATTCTCAGTGGAAGAGAACTTCCCAGCATTTCCAGAAATCACCTTGTCAATTCGAGTTTTCAGCTTTTGAACTCGAGACTGCAAAACTTCAATATTCCAAAGGATTTGCTCTGAGGGATCATCATCCTTGAACTCAGGTGCACGCCACTCGTAACTAACACCAAACTCTTCATTGCTGTTATTTTGATCTGCTGCAGGAACTGCCCGGAAGTACAACAAAATAAATAAGCAGTTAGAAGTCAACAACTTAATAATAATCAAGGTTCAAATTTTCGTTACGATACGCCCCATGTCGGGCGTATCGTGTCATATCGGTGGCTTCATGATATGCCTATTTACAGGTGTTTCGAGACCCCCCCTCTTTAGTAAAAATATGGTTAAAAATAGGCCCAAAACCAAATTTTGAAAAAAAAAAAAAAAACATAAAAGCATGTTATTTTAAGTACCGATACACAGGGGTGTATCAATATTTTGAACCTTGATAATAATAAGAGGTCTATGGAAAAAGAAACTACCATTACCTAGAACTTCTACCGAACATACAACATAGAAAGAAAAGTGTAAATAGCAAAAGTATATCCCAAAGCGTACAAATACATAGAATATAGATGTGCATGGTACTGCATAGGAACTTGCCATGCTTCAACAAAATCCACTTTTTGGTTCCACAAGAAAAGAGCTTTGAAGAATTTTACAGATCTTTGGTTGCAGAGAGTGGGAGAGAAATATCGTGAAAACTATTTTCCATGGTTCAGTTGTTCAAAGAAATTGACAGAAGAGAAAATAGAAAACAAATAAGGTTTATATCTTTATCTATCTATATATACACACAAGGCCAATTAGCTTAAGTATTTAAATACAAAGACCAGAAGATTGTGGTGATTTTATATATCATGGACTCAACTCAACTAAGCCTTGTCCCAACTATATGAGGTCAGTTACATGAATCCTGTTCCAGGATTCCACTCTGTTCAGAGCAACCTCCATTATGGACCCTTCATTTTAGTTTTTTACTACTTCAAACCATTTCAATTTTTGGTCTGCCCCTAGCTCTTCTAGACTCTTCAACTTGTATCAGATCACTTCTTCTAACAGCCTCACAGGTGCCTGTAGAAGGTCTTCTATGCACATGAACAACATACCATGGAACCACATAGTCAATTCGTCCATGATTTAATACATGACTCTCCTAATTCCTATTCTCACTCTGGTTGCCATGTTTCTTTTTGCTTTCTATGCTCATATCCTACCACATAAGACCATTCTACATAACACTATTAGCTTTTGTTTTTGAACTGAAGGGAACTTTCTAGCCACCCATTAGTTGCAGTTGTGAATACTACAATTTTGAATTGGTTTTCTTCATTTCCCACAAGATCTGAACATCCTGCTGGCCAGTTTTGCAGACAATACATTATTGAACTGTTGTCAACTCCCCCCTCCCCCCCCCCGAAAAAAAAGAAAAAAGGCATGCATACATACAACAGATCAGACCTAACATCTAAATAGGATTGTGCATTGAACTTTTTTTTTTTTTTTTGATCAGCAGAAAACGAATTTACTGATGAAAATTTAGGAGTTACAAGAGCTTGTTTAAATTCCATCCAAAACAACAAAAATTACAGATTTGCCCAAAACATTTGCTGTCTCACAGTCCCTTGTTTGGCCAAAGAACCTGCCATTCCATTTGCTGTTCTTACCCACTTAAAGGCAACATTTAGCCCTCTTGTTAGGCTTACAATCTCCCTGAATTTATACTGGAATACCCACGGAATCTGGGAACTGTTCTTGGTCCATGAGATGACTACTTGGGAATCCCCTTCCACCTCTAGATTCTGGAAGCCCAATTGTTTTGTAAGCCTTAACACCTGCAGTAAACCAGTTCTGCTGTCAATGCATCACCATGCTCCAAGGGTCCTGAATAAAGGGCCACCACTCTACCTTCTATAGTTATGGGAAGCATCTTTATCCTTTTTATTTATATAGATTACAAAACATACCGAAACAGTAGATGGTTGGTGCAATTGCTTTCCCTCATCATTGCTGTTCTGTGCCCTCACTCTGGCCCTTTTTCTTTCATCATCATCATCCATGCCTTATCCCCATTAACTCTGGCCCTATTTCTTTAACTGTATAATTTAGATTCCCTCAAATGGACAAAGAAAACTTTTTAATTTAGATCCTCTGCCCAGAAAACTGCTCATCTGCGGGCCCTGTTGGTTGGGCATTTAGGATTGCCACCAACCTGCCAGCTAGTTGATCAACTAAGCAGCCACCCAAACAATGGTTTTATTTCATAATCAATAAAAATGGGTTTATATGTGACATAACTAGTCAACATTCTAATCATATTTTTTATTCCTTATTGATAGTCTTTATTAGCATATACATATGACAGCCTCCTAATCTTGATTACACCACCGAACAACTTTGATTACACCAATTCTAAATTATCAATGTTTTCCCTACTTTAATCATCAACATCATCTAAGCCTTGTCCCAACTCCCAACCATATGAGGTTGGCTACACTGTTTCACCATTCCGTTCTGTTCAGTGTCATATCATCATCAAATTATGGGCACTTATATCATATCTTACTACTTCCACCCAAGTCCTTTTTGGACTGCCCCTATCTCTTCTAGACCCTTCAACTGGTTATAGATCATTTCTTCTAACAGGTGTTGAAGATGGTCTTCTATGCATATGACCAAACTACCTCAGTCTATTTCACTGATAAAAAGAAATGGTCTTCAGTCTTCCCTACTTTGTTTGATCTTTTTCAATGTTGTCCACATTGATGAAGGATATTCTGCTCTCCTCTTATCTTCCTTTGAGTTTAATTTTTGTATCAGTAACAAACTGATTCTTTCATTAATATTGAAATGGGACCCATCATTAGTTTTAAATTCACTTGGTATCCATGGATTGTTTTAAGAACGTAAAGTATAAATTTATGTTGAATTTCTGTATGAAATCATAAATACATCAGCCCCACACCAGGGGACTGTACAATGGGGATACATAAAATGCCCATCTCATCTACTAAATTCCATTTACAAAAAAAAAAAAAAACTCTTTCTAAAAAAAGGTATAGGGCATTCCCTTAAACAGTTTGTGTGCGTACTCCTAGCTATGAAAATAGTAGACCTTGTATCTTTCTAGCAACCACCTCTCCTGTTTGAATTATGTTTTTGAAAATCTTAGCATTCTCTCAACTGACAGCAAAAGGGTCAATCTTCCACACACTACTTAACTGGACAATTTTATTTACATCATATTTTTCTTTTGTTTTTTCTGATGAGTTGCTTCATAGTTTTCATTTTAAAAATCATGACAATAGCATGCCAGTAAAGATATGAAAAGTATTTCTGTTCATTTTAAAGCTTAGTTTAAATTTAACCATGAAAAAGTTCAGTTTAAGCTAAGGATTTTATGGATGCATCCTTAAATTCCATAAAGAGCTTTGTGGTAAAAGGACAAAAGTGATTTTTATCATATTGACTAAATGGTTCACTAAGTATTGAGTGCTTAAGGTTAGGTTTGTCTCTAGCATGGATTGAGTCAGGCTTTTGTTCAGTGGAGCTACTGAATCCTCAACCACATCCCAACACAACTTGAGAAGTGGACCCAATTTTTCAGGTCTAAGTGCAGCACCATGACCAAATCCCAATCCAACATTTGCAAAAGCTCAGGCTAGGTTTAGTTGGGTTCAAATTGGACACCCAAGCTTCACGCCTACTTTTAGGTCAATATGCTGTGAGCATCTCTCTAGCAGAAAAAGACAATGATTGAACAAATTCAGTTTTGTAGTCTTTTCTCTTTCATTTGCTTCTCCTATCAATTGATTCACAAGAAAATTCAGTTTTGTAGTACAGATGGTCTGCAGCAGAATCATTGAACAAATAGCAAGAAGCATGTAGTAGTAGAAAAAATATCATAAAAAATACCTCAAATTGCATAAGAAATCATGATTATTCTCCAATCATAGAAGACTATCTGCAGTAAAAAACAGTAATTGCTCTTACCCTGATCACCACAATCATCACCCACAGAAGCAACATCTACATCAGACTTCTTATTTTCTGAAAGATATGAGGTAGGTAATTTAGATACTATAAAAGAGAAGGAAAAGAAAAACCTCATGCACAAAGAGTAAAATATATGACTAGAAGCCATCTGTACCATAGTAGGAGAAAAGGCTATGATGTGACATATATGATGGAACATCAATGATGTCTTCAGCTCTCTTTCTTTTCCTCCTCTTCATGACACTACTTCCCCTTTGTCCAGTAAATGGTAATGACCTCAATCCACAACCTTCTAATGTATTGTCTCCTAACTCCCACTGCTTTCTTTGATCATATGCTGCAAGTTCTCGATCATATTTTAATGCCTGCAACTGAAATTCCTTGAGCCGCAATTCTATCCACTTACACCGCCACATTAGAGGCCGTATATACCTCCTCCAATGAGCTGTCAACTTCTTCTTCCTGGAAATTTAAGCAGAAGAGGTTCGAACTCATATAAAGCATAGCAGAACAAGCATGAACATCTAATCAAAATATCATCAGGCAATAATGTTAAATAATCAACTAATATATGCAGAAACAGTTTACCTTCCACTGTTTTTTACTGTTGTGAAGGAGGATTCAAGAAGAAATGAGACAGGAACATAGCCTACCGAACCAGTCAAAGCATGCTCAAGACAGGAAAATACACAGGAAATAGATGCTCACCATACGTTACCCCCCCCCAAACACCACCTAGGCTAATCCCCACCTCATCAATACCAATTTCAACACCCATCAGAAGGAAACATTCATGGATTTCTTTTGATGAATGGCATGGAAATTATATTGTAATAAGATAAAAAATATATAAAATGTATAAAAAAAGGGGTTCCATAAGCTCTTAGTTTTATAATAGCACAATAGGCCTACAATGCAGAGCCTCCATTTAAGCTTCTGCAAACTCCTGCAAGTTTGAATTAACAAATCACAAATACCTCGATGCATCAGTGAGGGTGACTTGAGATGTGTAGTTCTTTGGGAATGATACCCTCATGCCGTTTCTTCCTTATTTTAATCTGATCATTTAACCTAATCAAGGAAAGGATGTATTTTTTATTTGATTATTACAAATAGAATTTGATACCCAAAAAAAAGTGCATTGTCATGATCTTCAATCCTCCATGGAAGCATAGACAACATTGGCGATGATAAGATCTCTTTGTTAACAAGAAACTTGATAAGATCTCTCAATCCAGATTATTAATTCCTTATCATACGATGTCGCTGACATCTTGACTTCCATTTTGAAGAAGGGGAAATTCTAGACATACTACTATAGGTCCTTAGTTACTAATGATATATTGCCTATTATCCTTTTTCTATCTGCCTGCAGGAAAGGTACTGAGGATCATTATGAAAAATATGACACCCTATATGTTATAATGTTAATTTAATACATTGTAGGAAGGCAGCAGTTGTTTTGGACCTGTTTGTAAGACTGACTTTGACTAAGGGCTTTCCATCCGGCCTATGGATGGTGACACTTGTAATCTTTAATTCTCGTTATCAATGAAAGTTACCATTTCCTATCAAAAAAAATATATATTGTAGGAAGGCAAGGTTAAGATCTTCATGACGCACTGATCTTCTCATCAAAGAATGGGAAGCACGATAGATTTCAGAAAGGAAGCACTAAGGACTAAGAGTAAAGAGACAACTCTTTTCTGTATAATAAAGCAGAGATAAGAGGGCAAAGAGAAAGGGAGAGAGAGAGAGAGAGAGAACTGGTTAGAACCAGAATTCAGTAAAGCAAATCAACTCCTCTGATTTTCAGCTACAATGACTCTATTTATAGACTCAACCTAAGGGCTTGGGTCTCCCGTAACAAGCTCCAATTTGGATTAGGAAATTGACCAGGAAAAAAGAAAAGGAAAAAAAAAAAAACTCCATTACTTTATAACTAAGAGAAACCCCGTAAGGACACTCAATTACAGACATCCAACTCTAATCATATTGAAATTAAATAAACAAAAGACAAGTCAAAGATGAACCAAGAATAGAAGCTTCTCTAACCTATCATAAGCTAACACCTTTTGTGAGGAAAAACATGAGAAACATAAGAATCTCCAGATTGTGGGGAAGGCATAAAAAACATACACTTACCCCAAGCAATTAATAAGAAAAGTTACATTCAACTAAACACATGATTACTTTAATCTTTCAACTTTATGAGCAACAATATGATAAAGAATATGATGCATTTGTGTCTATGTTCATGCATCCGGATCTTTGGAAATCATGAGGGCCATAACTATTACAACTCATAGCTCCAACCTAAATTGGTATGTTTTGATGCAATCGTGCAAAAGGAGTAGAAAACACTATTTTCATTGTATAAGGGGCAAAATATATCTGAAATATTTCAGACCAAAAAAATTCCACCCATTTTACACCAAAAACAAATGGCCCCTAAATTGATCACAATAGTTGCAACAACTTCCATTTATGAATACTGAACAGCTGAGCTGATAGCCTCAAATAAAATTTGTATAAATGATGAGAGTTTCACATGTTTCTTAAGTTGGGCCTCGTGTGATACACTTAAACCTGGATTTTGGATTCTTTTAGTGTCATCACTTCATTTAGTAATATTGCAGAAAGGAAACAAGTTCCGGTAACATCAAAATCTTTGTTAAGCATATGCATAAAACCTTTGATAAAGCTTTCAAGATATAAATTATATGGAAAGTGTCACAAAAATGGTACTGGATTATATATACACATATGCATGTGCATGTGCTAAATTATAAAATGGTCTAAGATATTTAAGTGGTCTTTCTTTCTTTCTTTTCTATTTATTTTCTTTTTTTGTTGGAAATATATGGGGAAGCGTAGTGATTAATAGGTGAATATGGGTCCTAAAGACAGATTAATGCATCAGCACTCACGAATTCCACCACTGAAAATGTGGGCATCTTCAAAGGCTGACACTATAGGCATCCCACTGCTAATCACCATGAATGAAGATATAGTAATTATGATAATACCCACACTAAATGCAAATAAAAGGGAAAAATACCTTTTTCGAAAAAGACTATCAAGCCCATCAAAGAAAGTAGAAGCCAAATCATTGTCATCACAGTACCGAGACTCCACTTCAGCATCACTCAACCTTGAATTATCCTCAGTTCCCGAAATTGTGTCACCAAAAGAACTTGAGTATTCAGTTGCATCCGGATCGTCGGCTTCATCCAAGCTATTAGCATTAGTGTTCATACATTCAATTATATCAACTTCCACATCCATGGCCTCATCTTCTACCTTAGTATGTTGATCCAACAAACATTCAATATCAAACGTGGTGTCCTCACAATTACTCATACACCTAAGCCCCTGTTGATCCCGGGTCGCCAAGAATACTCCATTCACTTTCTCCAATGCAATTTTTACATTATCCTTTGGTTTACTTTCTGGGTCTGGATCAACAAAGATTTGAGAAGGGTCCATGCTGTAATTTCACTCAAATTCAAGTCATCTTCCCAACAAGAGACTCAAAATTTTCCTTCGTAGTTTACCTGCAATTAGATCAAACTGCTCGAGTTTAAGTCCACTGTGCTATTACCGGAAATGTAAGAAATCGATTTCCAAATTCAATTCAGTATCTAAAAATATACAAGTACATATATAATGTAGCTCAAAAAAAAGATATATGATGTATGACCGAATAATGATTCAAATATGGATTCCACTGGGAAAACCTTTCAAGCTTCCATTTCTTTTACTTCTGAAAAAAAGTGTGTAAAAGAATATAATTCCTTTCTGGTTCACCGCGGACCAACCAGGAAAAAAGAAAAAAGAACAGAGTGTATTCATTAGCAATTGGAATGAAAGCAAAGAACAACTGAAATAAAAGTAAGAAACACTGAAATGCTAACGATTAGAATAAACTAGAAATCAGGACTTCCAAAATCAGAAGCCTCTAATCACTAGACCCTAAAACAAACATGGTAATCCATTAATTTCACAATACAGAGGCAAATGATCTAAATGAGTTCACTGTGTGCAACCAAAGATTCAAGTGAAGACCAAATGATTTCTTGATTGTTCTCAGCAATTAAAAAGTAACTACATGCTCAACCCATATTATACTTAATAATGACAACTCTAAAAACCAAGTTTAATTGATGTACTATGAACTGAGCCGATTGGAACACGGCAAAAGCAGCTAAATGAGCTTCGTTATGCCCAACTGAACCCTTGAAGTTCAGGCCAATAACGAATAACTTTCGTTTCTGAAGAAGAATATGTTACCGAGAAAGCCCGAGTAGTCAAGCAGGACTCTAGTCTTCCGCCTCCTCTGGCGCGTTACTGCAGTTACTACGTAGCTTGCTCCATGACAAGAAAAGGCATGAACCCTAAAACCCCGCCAGTTGAGACAACCCGGTTTCACAATGGGTTCGACCGGTCCTACGATCACTGTTTTGTCTGTCTATGACTATGACTATGACTATGACTTCTAGGTTATAGCAAAGTAGCAATGCATCTTGGTCTTGGACGGGTTGAATCGGGTTCAATGCTACCCAGACCCAACCGATCCAATCATAAGATTATAACGTCTTGGACGGGTTGAATTGGCTGAACTGAATGACTCATTGTTTTGGTAATATCACAAATAACCCAATTTCAATTGGATCAGTCTCACAACCTTCTTAATAATTTATTTCACTTAAAAACAAAGCAATAGATTTAGGCTGCGTTTGGTTTGATGGAAAAATAAAAAAAGAAGGAAAAGAAGGAAAAGAAGGAAAATGTAAATAAACCTTTACAAACATTGTATAGACTTTCCTATATTTTCTTTCATTTCTCTACCTTTTCCTTCAAACCAAACATAGCTTTAATTTAGTCATTTTCAGTTGTTTTCGAATAGCCCTAACACAACTTTGGGTTGGGCCCAAAGTCTAACAGGTTGGTCGGGTTTGGGTTTGGAGCCATCTCACTCATGTTTTGTGCTTATACGTTTCATTCAAACTTCATTTGGGTTTCATAAACTAATAATCTATGATTTATAGAATGGATGCTTATTGCCTTTGCAGTAGTAAAAGTTAAACCATAGTATTATATCATATACATACATCCCTTACACTAATAAAAAAATATAAATAAAATAATATATATAGTTGTCATTGCATAATGTGCTTAGTGTATAAAAATATATATGGATATCATAAATGTATTATAGAAAATACATTATATATGACATAACAATATAATACTTGCGAATGAGTATGGAGTTGAGTAAATGTAACTCAATTAAACTAGCAAAGGGGCCCTGCTTCGTAAGGGTTGGAATGGAATCGTCGATCTGTTGATTCGGTTTTTGGCCAAAAATCGTTGAATCAGTTAATGATCCATTGACCTAAGTTTGACCCGTTGATCCATTCAACGGTTTTTGGCCTTTTTTTTTAATCAAGAACCATTCAGGCAACCGGTTTCATTTTATCCTAATCTCGATCCCTAGCCAAAAATCATTGAATCGGTCAACGACCCATTGACCCGGGTGGTTGAACCATTGACCCGTTCAATGGTTTTTGGTCTTTTTTTTAATTTTTATTGTCAGAACGGGCCATCTGTTCGAACTGAACAATCAAACCGTTGACCCAAAAACCGGTGGCTATAATGGTTATGTTTTTAGGTTGTATGAGTCACACACTCGAATGACAACATGTATGGTACTGGTTAATGGACCTCACACACTCAATTTTTTGCCTGTAATTTTTGTTGCCATAATGGGTCATCCGTTTTTTTTTCTTTTTAATTGGGAACCGTTCAAGCAACCAATTCCATTTTACCTCAATCCCAGTCGCTGGCCAAAAACCGTTGAATCGGCCAATGGCCCATTGACTTGAGTGTTCGAACCGCCAACCCGTTGACTCGTTCAATGGTTTTTGTTTTTATTTTTTTTTATTTTGTTGTTAGAACGGGTCATTCGTTCGAACAGGATGGTCGAATCGTCTACCTGAAAACTGGTGGCCATAACGGTTCCATTTTCGAGTCGTATGAGTCACACGCTCGAATGACATAACATGTATGATACTACTGAATGGACCTCACACACTCGATATTTTGCCTGTAATTTTTATTGTCATAATGGGTCATCCATTCGAACCGGACGATTAAACCGTCGACCTGAAAACCAGTGGCCAGAAAGGTTCCGTAAATTTTTGCTTATAATTTTTTGTTGTCATAATGGGCTGCCCAATCGAATCGAACGGTTAAATTGTGGATCCAAAAACCAATGGCTATAATGGTTCCATTTTCGGGTCGTATGAGTCGCACGTTTGAATGACATAACACGTATGGTACTACTTAATGGACCTCACAAACTCAGTTTTTTGCCTATAATTTTTGTTGTCAGAACGGACTATCCATTCGAATTGGATGATCGAACAATCGACCTGAAAACTGATGGCCATAATGGTTTTTTTTTTGCTTGTAATTTTTGTTGTCAGAACGGGCCATCCGTTAGAACCGAATGGTCGAACCGTCGGTTGTCAGAACATTATTAACAACATTTATCAATAATAGTAAATAATTATACTATTTAATTAAATAATCATTAATGATAATTTTAATAATATTATTTAGTTATTTTTAATATAAAAGTAAATATTAAATTTATGTATAGGATTTATTAACAATATTCATTAAATTAATAATTACCAAAATTAAATTAAATTAATAGTATTTATCAGTAATAGTTAGTAATTATAATATTGTATTAAATAATCAATAACAATACTTTTAATAACATTTTTAATATAATAATAATTACTAAATTTATTAACATTATTTATTAATAACAATATTTATAATATTAATTTAAAGTAAAATTAAAATAAATATCTATATTAACAATATTTATAATAAAATAATTATTAATTATATATTTATTGAATTACTGTAATAATCAATAAATTTTATTAATTATTGTAATTACTGGGTGCTCTCACGTGGGAATCTACTCGCACCATTTCTTCCACGGAGAGAGCACCCCTATTCTATTAATACATATAAAAGATTGGGCTGGGCTAAGTCGGTGTCAGGATACCAAAGATCTCATCTCAAATCCAATCCAATAGGTCAATGACTAAGTTTTCTAAGCCCAATTCCAATCTAAAGTCTAGCATGTGCAGGGTTTGGGTTGGATCAAATCGGGTTTTGGTTAGGTCCACCCAAATTATACCCCTAGTGATTTTGATCGGATGTCTAATGGTCTGTTTTTTTTAATGGGTATGGCAATTTTTCCCATCAAATTCAGGGCCCACCTCACCTTGCCCCATTTTGGAGCGGGTTTTCCCAATCTTAAACGGGGATGGAGTGGAAATAAGGAAAATATTTACACATGATAATTCTTTGAACCCACCCCAACCCTGCTGGTGAATTATTAAAATATTTCATTATTAAAAATGTTTTTATGTTTAATATTAATTTTTAAAATATCCTTGAATTTCCCCCAAATTCCAAAAAACTTAAGATTTCATAATCACATTTTTCATAATCATATATCTAGAATACCCCTAAAAATTTAATGTATTTTAAGAGTTTGTTTGTGATGATGCACAATCTGGCTGGTCTTAGCTATCAATGATCTTACCTCTGAACTGAGTAACAGGGACCCGAAACGGAAGGAGAAGAGAAGCTCTGGGGAGAACCCGGCGTAAGGGCTCCGAAGCTCAAGTTAGAATCCTTCAAAGGCAAGATAAACCAGATAGCGC